ACCATCAAAAGAGTAAAGCTTTGAAGAGCTTTTCCTTCTTGCTAGAGAGGATTTATCGGATCTTTTCACCCTGGAGATCCTGCAGGGCACTGTCGGAGAAACATTTAACACTTTAATAGGGATTTTTTTTAAAAGGAGGCTGTTTAACTATTACCTAAATTCAGGTTCGGTGGATTTGGAAACATTTGGAAGCATTGGTTTTTATCCCCTCACAGCCATGTAAAACGGCACTGTGATGATGTGCACATGATTTTAGACATTGCGCTTCTAAACAGCAGTGACAACGTGACGATGTTCAACAAATATTCCCATAAACTTTACTTATGCGGGATTGTTTGCTCGGATATACAAGCTCCCAAGCTTTTTGTCTAAAAATACAGTTTTCAGGTTTATGCGCACTGTGTTCTCACTTTAAAAAAATGCATAACTTTCAGCGGCTGTATTCTGCCGCAGGGAATCATTTCAGTCATAAAGGCATGCGAAGCTTTATCTGATTGTTGCACTTTTATTGCCAACTAATTATCTAGCCAGCGCTATAAAATTAATGATAAAATGAAGCCACCTCCTTTCCACAGCTTGGGATGAAAACCACATGTTGCTTTCAACAGTCACATTTATTGTGTGCTGCTCGGATAATTCAGAATGTGAAGATCCAAGAAAATGAAGACAGTTTGATGTCATTTCCTCACATCATGGACATCCTGGAAATTTATGCTGAGGATAAATGCTTCCTAAAATCTTCCTGCCATCTCTTACTTTGAGGTCACTCTCATGACTTCTGCCCTCTCCTTCATTGTAGCTCAGATACCCCCCTTCTTCATTCTGGCTCTCCCTTTCCTGTGCATTCCTCCCTATTTTATTGTCCTTCCAAATTGTACGGTAGATCAAGTTGTCAGTTTTCTCCTGTCCTGGCCTCTTGTGTCTTCCTGCATTTCATTGTTTTTAAAAACACAGTTTTCAACACTTCTCTGCGCTCCCACCTTCAGCCCCCACGCACAGGCATACACTATCTGACCACCGCAATATCCCTTCCACTCAGCTGGTTGCCAACGTTCCCCCTCCCTCTCTCTCAACCTCTTCAGATGTGGAGCCAGCAGAGCTAAAGGTTGGAGATGGTCTCTAAAGCCAAATCTATTAGATTAAGAGGATCGGGCCAGTTAAAACTCAGGTTTCCAATTAAATCAGACAATTCTGCTCTAACATAGCCTAATGAGCTGCCATGTTACACAACACAAAGGCATCATTCACATGACCGAGACATACGTTTGGACGATGGCCACATTTTTCAAAACTGATTTCTTGTGATATGTGTGTGAGTTGACCCATGTGATTTTTCTGTCTTTGTGTGTGAGAACAGAACCAACTAGTGTTTTTCAGTCAAATGCATTTATGAATAGCAGTTGTCTTTGAGCGAGTGTGTGTGTGTGCATGCGCTCAAGCGTATGTTGCTTCTTTTAGTGCAACTGCATTAAATTTTGCAAATGCAAGTGTATTCTGACATGATTATTTAAAAGTAACCCTGTGTGTCCGCAAATTGTTGCCTTTCCAAACCATCATGTCAAAGAGGTTTGCTCATCTGCGCCAAGATGAAGATTGTACCCATGTGTGTGTGAGTGTGTCTGTGTGGTGTGTGAGCGTGTGTGTACGTCTTCACCCCGATAGCATGTCTCTATAGACGCGGTTGTATTCGTCAATCAGCCCATTTATCCCTCCATGCTCCAGGCCATTCTGAGGGTGTGTGTGTGGTGGGGGGGCATGATTCTTGAGAGGGCTCATAGCCAAGTTAGAGTCCTCTATGAGTGAAAGAAAGAATCAATGTTAGAGCGCACGGGACACACAAACACTGTTTTCATCAATATTTCATCCCTCCTGCTCCCTTTGTTCACCAGCCTTTATTTTACAGCTTCTTTTTCATCGCACAAAAACGCTGCTTTGATGATGTGTTTAATATACGTGCACATGTACTCAGTTAAATATATTGTGACGCCTGTTGATTCAAGAGCAAATTGCTTACTCAGGATTGTGCTTGAAATGTTTGCTTTGTTTTATAATTACTGGATCGAGCGACAATAGGCTGGCTCAATGGTGTGGGGATGATTTTGCTCTTAGTTGATCCATGAACATACTGCAGGGGTCGCTGAGATTGTTAAACGGGTTTCTTTTTTTAAATTTCTTCAAAAAAAAGAATTTTCACCATAAACCAAAGCACAGGAGAAATTTAAATTTGCACCTGGTGATGTTGGTCATGCTCAGAGGGGCATTATTATATGTAATAAACTTTTTAATAATCCATTCAGTAGTTATTTTTATAATTATTTGGTACAGAACTGTAAATGTGAACCCCAAGTTGAAAAATCACAGGATCAGCAACAAGTACATATTTTATAGGGTAAACAAAAACACAGACGTGCTTTTGGCGTTCTAGATGAATCAAAAGTCATCCTCTTCAAACCATAAATATCTTTTTATGCGCCCTGAGAATCTAACATTTGTTAGAAATACTTTAGGCCAAAGCGGTGAACTCACCATCGTTGCTGGTTTTCACCTCAGCATGCATTCTGGAAGGCTTGTCTTCATTTCACACATGCAGCAAGTTTTCTGTTTTGATGGTTGAACTATTTTCTCTGCAGGACAACTTGGACTCAGACGTTGCCAGCTGTGGAGCAAGGCCCAGTGGGTGGATGCGTGTGTGTGCCTTAAGTGTTTGTTTTCTTACTTCTGTGCACCTTTGGGTGAGGCTTCTGTGAAGATGAGGGCCATCACACTGCTGTGTCTTCTGATGGTTGCGGAGGCTGCAGCCTCCAGGTTCGTCCGTGACTCCCAAAGTGGGCTTGAAGCTTTAGAACCCGGCAACAACAACGCATCAGTTGTTCTTCCACCCTCGCAGCCGGGCCGACCACGGAGCTCGCACCCCCCCATGTGCATAAACCCCACGGAGATCAAGCAAGCCTTCAAATATGTGAACACCATCATATCCTGCCTGATCTTTGTCGTGGGAATCATTGGCAACTCAACACTGCTCAGGATCATATATAAGAACAAATGTATGAGGAATGGACCCAATGTACTCATTGGCAGCTTGGCACTGGGAGACCTGTTATATATTGTCATCGCCATCCCCATCAATGTGTACAAGGTAACCAGATTTATACTATGTGTCTTTATGATTCTTCTCATAGTTTAACATCGACTGTACATAAAAGATGGACATAGCTACATTATCCACTGTTTGCTGGATATGATATCCTCTGCCAGCTATGAGTCTGTTTGTCTGATGTTTTTTGTGGCTTCATTTTGGAGTTTGTCACTTTAATGTGATCTCTGTCTCTCAGGTCTCTAATTCAGAAACTGTTTGCTGTGTTAAAATCACACAGTTATATCTTTGAATAAAATTCAATTCACTGTTAATACAAGTGAAAGTTTCGCATGACAAAGTCTTCATTAAATAATTTAGCCGACTTACACAATATGTAGAAACTTAATATTGATTCAGTTTATTGCCAAAGCTGAGGATGCATCTAGTATTTTACTTTAGTATTACTTCAAGCTAAAGCAGTTTACATTGCCTAAAATGTAAACCTGATAATTGTAATTTTTTCTGCCGGAGGTTTCTTCCTGTTAAAAGGGAGTTTTTCCTTTCCACTGTCGCCAAAGTGTTTGCTCATAGGGGGTCATATGATATTCGAAACTTTTTTGTGGGAGGATGCATTTCAACTTTTTGATTTAATGAAGAAACATTTAGAGTGCGAAGGCTTTACAACCTCTGATAGATTAGTGAACAGTACAGACTGCTGTGA